CTCCAACCCCAGGTGGATGTTCTTGGAGAGCTGGAAACAGCTGGAGACTGTTTTTTGTGCTGGTGTAAAAGGTATTGAGATCCTTCTGAAACGTGGCAGTAGGAGAAGTGCAGATGCAACCAGGTTTGTTGAGGATTTGTAACTCCTTTAGAGTAAAATCAATAACAAGGGATGACAGGTTTCAGAAGGAAAAATCCCTTTGAATGGGACTGGTCAAGAGTGGACCAAAAGGACATAGTACATCTGGCCTATGGCATCTATTTTGGGAGAAAGAACCCAAAATAAATGTTCTAAAAGTATGAACATTTCTCTATTGACTTTAAATGTGACCAGGAATGAATGTTTCATATCCCTTCCCTTCCTTTCCCTTCCCTTCCCAAACCTTCCCTTCCCTTTTCATCTAGGGAAAAAACTCAACAGCTTCTTATGGGATATTAGTGAGCTGGTCTAAGGAAACACAGGCAGGTGGAAGATTCAGAGATACTCCACTGCCCTCCAGCAGCAAAAATAATCTGTGGGAATCTTGTCTGCTCTGGACAGAGCTGAACACTTTTGTTGGTGAGGCAGAAGAGCTTAAGGCAGAGTAGAAATGCCAGAGCTCGAGTCCCCAAGTCCAACTGGGTCATGGAATGACTGTAGACAGGTCTTTGTCTTAGTCCTACAAGTTCCCTGGCTTGTTCCCCCTCTCTCCATCTCACATGGAGCGTTGGCTGAGGCAGAGGTTAATTTTTGTGATTTTTGAAGATTGAGGATTCACCTTGTCCATTTGCAAGCCAAGATGCCTCTGGCATCACTGTTCCCTACAGCCCTGCAGGACTGAGGAGGGACTGCAGGCACCTGAGAGGCTGCACCACCCAGGCTGGTGCCAAAAGCATCTCAGGAACATGTGGGTTGGGTGGGAAGGCAGAACAGATGGTTGTGGATGCTGTGTTTAGAAACATGGGACAGGGAGGTGCGGGAGGATTCAATAACTTTAAGGGAGGTGCGGGAGGATTCAGTAACTTTAAGGTCGTGCATCCAGTGGAAATTCAACCCATGTGTCCTGCATCATGACAGTCCACTAGACCTGGCTTTTCTTCTTACAGCCCTTGGCTGGAGAGCAGCACAAGCTGGGGTTGGACACAGGAATTTGGAAGCAAGAGCCTGTGGTTCATGCAGTGGACAGGTGGACCAGTCACACAGAGTTATCATCTGTGGGGAAAATAACTCCGCCCAAAGGGCTCAAGATGAGTCAGACTAAGGATGCTGTAATTGGATAAAAATACCTGTGCTTTCTTGCAGTTCAGCTAATCCACACCAACAGTTCAGTGGGATTTACTTCCCTATGACAACAAGAGCACAGACTCATGGGATTTTAGGGCAAAAATGCACCAGGTACATCTTTAACAAAAGACGATTTAAGTGAAATCTCTTGGCCGCCTTTGTCCTCTGCTCCACTCAAATTGACTTTCACCCATTTGGGCTTAGGAGAAGAATTAATTTGGGGAGTGAATATGCAGCAGGTTGCTCTTCTCTGGGCAGATACCTGTCTCCAAGCAGGCAGCAGGGGGGCTGAGGTCAGCAGAGGCAGCTGAATTTTCATTAGGAACAGATCCTTTTATCACGGTTTACAGCTCCGGACACAGAAATCAGGAAGGACATCGGGCTGCTGCTTTTAACCTTTGCTGTGTCTTTATTCAGTGTGTGACATCATCCTATTGATGAAGGTCAGGTTGATCTCAGGTCTTTTCTGACTCATTGAATATTAGGGATGGCTGGAGGCAGGTGAAGCCGGTGATTTGATGTGACAGGTCAGGAGGGAGCACACCAGCAGTGCAGCAGGACACGGGCTGCAGGAAGGGCTGATGCCATGATCCATTGTGACAAGGGGAGAGCTGAATGGATGGACCAACAGCCTGGAATGAACCCAGCAAGGGCAGGATAGAAAGAGGTAAAAACCCTGAAAACCCTTCGGTCTGTGTCCACTCCCACATCAATGGGTCAAATCCAGAATGACCTTCCTTAGCTGCTGATAGGATCACAGATTTATTGTGTGAGATCTTGTGACATCATGAACCAAGACTCTTCCTTAAAGTACATCTCATTTTACCCCCTACCATGGGCAGGGACACCTTCCACTAGCCCAGGTTGCTCCAAGCCCTGTCCAACCTGGACTTGAACACTTCCAGGGATCCAGGGGCAGCCACAGCTTCCCTGGGCAACCTGTGCCAGGGCTTCCCCACCCTCACTCACAGTAGAGCATTTCTTCCTAATATCTACCCTAAACCTACCTTATTTCAGCATAAAGCCATTAATCCTCTGTCTAAAGATGCAGGGCACTTGTGAACTGTAGTCCAGGCTGGATACAGGATGTGGCCATCAGAGCAGGAGAGGAGCAGGAGCAAGGACTCTGCTCTGCAGGCCTGTGGCCATGGAAAAGAGAGGCAGGAGGCAGGACCTGTGGTATCCACCACTCCACTGCTTGGCCAACCTGGAACTTACATTTAGCAAAACATGCATCTAAAAGACACCAGGTTTGCTCCCAGCTGATTTTTCCTGGCCCTTCCTCCAAAGGTCTGCATTCAGCATGCATTCAGCATCTGAGTATTTTGAGAAATTCCTGTTCCTCCAGGCTCAGGAAGGCAGGGACAGCTGGGAGCTATTTCCTGTCAGCCCTCTTGCCTTCCCATCCTGGGAAATTTTGTGCCAGCTGTGGTCACCTGTTTGATTTCTCTTTCAGTGGCTGCCTTCCTCCACAAATTAATTTTGATTATTTAAGCTTGTCTTGCCTGGCAGGGAGGGATCTCTTAGTGGTGCGAGTTTGAAGAACTCACTCTCTATATCTTTCTCTTTTTCCCCTGCACCAAGTCTAATTTTGTGGTTCCCTGCCTTGCCCAAAAATAACCTTCAGCCCCAATTCTGAACTGTCATATTCATTACATCCCAGCTGTCTGCAGACAGGGCTTATCACTTGCAATCCACTCAGTTACACTTGTGATTAAAACTGATTGCAAACGTGATCCTGGCTGCTCAGCCTGGAAATTGGGAACGTCTTTATAATTTCTGACAGCGGATCACGAAGCCTTGGATGAGCCTGGCAGGGCTGCAGAGCCAGGACAAGATCTTTGCAGGTCGGTGGGAGTGGGAGGAGAATATTCATGTGTAAGAAAGAGAGAGGAGATGGTGATTTGGGAGGAAAAAAAACACGTACAAGAGATGAGGATGAAGATCCCCAAGTTGAAACCTGAAAAGGCAAGGGGTGAAAACTAAGCTCAGCTCTTGACTGCCAGGACCATCCCCAGGGATAGGTGATGGAGGCAGTTGTGTAGCAGAGAAAACCAGACCACACAAGCCTTCACTCAGTTTTGGGCACCAGTAACTCATGGAATCAGTGTAGATGTTCCTGGGAAAACAACTGTTGTTCTTCTTCCCAAAAACAGTAGCAGCATGTCATAGCCTCCAGGACTCTTCTGTACCTACTTCTACTCCAGCCTGTTCCCTCTGCAAACCTGGAGCCATTTGTCCCCTGTTTGATCAGAGTAGGGCTGCAAAATTGTGCTTTGCAAGAGTGATGGAACCTTGAATGTGATCAGACAGTTTGTACCTCGCTCCAAACCTGAAAAGGGCTCCACCATCTTTCTGTTGGCCTGAATTTCACAGCTTGATTTCACAGATTTATGTACCTAAAATTACCTACAGAGTTTACATTTATTTAATCTTTGCTTTATATCACAACCCACTTGTTTTCTCCATCGAGGGTCCTGTGTCTTGTGTTGAACTAAAGCCTGATTTCCAGAGTTTGTTCTGAAGAGACTAAAAAATCCACCATTTTCTTTGGGAGCCCTTTCCAGCATGTTAAATCCTCTCCCTGATTCACCTCAGTCTTTATTCCCTCCAGCCTGACTTGAGTTATACTTCGTTCTCTCTCTGGAGTCTCCCAACATCTCCAAAGGAGGTGTCTCTCCAGCTTCCTTGTTATGAACTGAACAGGGTGTTTTTTGACATATCTCCTGGTCAGAGATTGTCTTCCAGACTTTTGAGTCATTTTTATTGCCCTCCTCTGATGTCTCTCCAAGCATTGGATGTTCCCTTGCAGGCACAGACATCAGAACCGGGTGGCCCCAATTCCTCCATACCCAGATGTAAAATGACTTGCCTTGTCTAACTCAACATGCCCCTGTTTGTGCATCCAAAAGCTGAATTAACTCTTCTGATGGATTTAGGGCACTGCTTTAAGACCTTTCTTCAAATAATTGGACTGGCCTGGCTGTCTTGGAGCTGCTGCTTTCCAGCACAGGCTCTCTCCCTCCTGCCCATTCTCCAAGGGGTTTTTTGCCTATAAAAGGAAACCTTTGCAGAGAGCTACATCTGTGCTCTGTGATCATCTCACTCCAGGCATGGAGCTGATGTGCTCCATGTGCCAGGAGCCTCGTCACAAACCTTGTCCTGTAGTGAGCACAGACACAAAAAATAGTCTCTTTTTTTTTTTTTGCTGCAGATTCCCTCTTTCCCTGTATCAGCAGAAGCTCTCAAAGTATTGAGATCCCTGGAAGTGTTCAAGGGCAGGTTGGATGGAACTCAGAGCCACATGGTCTAGAGGAAGGTGCCCCTGCCCATGGCATGGGTTGGAATGAGGTGATCTTTAAAGTCCCTTCCAGCCCAAGCCATTCTGTGAGTCTGTGTTTGTTGGTTATAAATCAGAGCTTGGCCGAGTCAGCCCATGTCATTCATGTGTAAAAACACATTTTCCTGATGTTCCCGCAGAGCTCATTTTCTAAGCCTCATTAGTATTCATGATAATTTGCATACCCAGGGTGCACCGCGGGGCGGGAGGTGCAATCCTGGTAGTAATTTTCATTTTTTTCGTGAGAAAACTGGGATCAGAACATGTATCTTAGTTATTTCAGTGATCAAGAGTCTGGCTGGCGTGGCAAAAGGTTGAATTTGGGGTTCCCTCAGGGTCGCCATGTCCTATAGAGGGACAGCCATGGGATGGTCTGTATGTGGAAGAAATCAAAATTATGCTCAGGTTTCTCTTCATATCGTACAAATCTTTCGCCTTTTACTAAAGATTTCCGTGAAGAAGAGAAACAAGTACGAGTGTGAAATAATTTTTTGAGGCTTCACTAAGGTGGAGCTGCTCTTTTGCAGTTAAAAAACAGAGAAAAGTCCAGATGTTCCTGTAATGACTGTAGGAAGAAACAGGACAGAGGTTCCTGTTAAGGATTGGAAGGATATATGAGAGGTGGATCACTGGAATTCTCTGCATCCAGGTCTGGGGTCTTCAGCACAGGAAAGATGTGGAGCTGCTGGAGTGGGACCAGGGGGGGCCACGGAGATGCTCTGAGGGCTGGAGCCCCTCTGCTCTGGAGCCAGGCTGGGAGAGCTGGGAATGTTCACCTGGAGAAGAGAAGGCTCCAGGGAGAGCTGAGAGCCCCTTGCAGGGCCTAAAGGGGCTCCAGGAGAGCTGGAGAGGGACTGGGGACAAGGCATGGAGGGACAGGACAAGGGGGAAGGGGTTTAACTGAAAGAGAGTAGGTTTTGATGAGATACTGGAAGGAATTCTTGCTTTTGAGGGTGGGGAGGCCCTGGCACAGGTTGCCCAGAGAAGCTGTGGCTGCCCCTGGATCCCTGGAAGTGTCCAAGGCCAGGCTGGATGGGGCTTGGAGCAACTTGGTCTAGTGGAAGGTGACCCTGCCCATGGCAGCTGGTTGGAATTGGATGATCTTTAAGGTTCCATCCCACCCAAAACATTTCATGATTCTGTTCTTATCTCTAAAACAGACCCTGGTGCCAAGGCAAAGAAATAGCTCCTCCTAGAGGGATGTACCTCCAAAATTATGGGTAGGACTTACCAAGTTAAGTTGTGTGTTCACCACAGTGGCACCTTTCTTAAAGTATTTTCCCAGCGTTTGGGACCATTTTCATCATAATTAATTTTTATGGTTAGAAAAAGAAGATTGTACACCATTCACCCCCCCTACCCCTTTAAGAAATTGGTCTCCTGCCTTTATTCTTTTGCTTGCCTTCATTTCCTGCCTTCATTTCCCCTCCTTTTCAAAGAAGCAACATTTTCTGTGTGCAAGTGAGACCCAAGGTGATAAGTTTTCACTCCTAGAAAAAAACACCTCCTTCTCTGGGTGAAGTGGCATCTGTGTAACAGCACAGGGAACTGTTATTATTTGTCCTGAACAGCCCAGAGTCAGCCCCTGCTTCAGCACAGGCTGCACTAATTGGGACACTAAGCAGATCACTGCATTTATTTGGATTAATGAAGAACCAGAGAGAAGTGTCCCAGGTGGGAAGTGTCCAGGGCACACCACAGACCCTGCCACGAGATGCCTGGCTCTCAAGGTCCTGGCTTGAAGTGTGTGGCTGCCAACAAATCATTGCTGTCATCTTGGCCGTGGTACAAACCCCACAGACATCCGATCTTTTCCTTTGGCTCCTGCCCTGGAAGTCCCTCCTGTCATCGTGTCACTGGGAGTGCAGTCACTCTCTAGATCATTCTCCACAATTTTGTGGCTGTGGTGAATTTGCTGCTCTGGAGACTCTAAACTCACCTTGAAGACCTGTGTGGGCTTCCTGGGTAGGTGAAGAAGGCTGGAGGGAAGATGCCTGGTTTTACAGACTGTTAGAAATGAAAATAAACTCCGTGGCATCGAACCTGTGGGAGGAGGATGATTGTTCTCTGCAAAGACACAGTTTGGAGGGACAGAACATTTCCACATCTGCTGTGGGATCTGCAAACAGTCCCTATATGGCAGACACTCATAGCCACTCATCCCTCCTATGAGTGGCACAAAAATGAGGGGAGTTTGCACCATCAGGCTCACATGTTCCTTTTATGACTTAGGCCTGCAGATTCAGCCTGATGCCCAAAGCAGCCCCCTGCTTTTAAACAGAAAATGACAAAACTTACAAAAAAATAAGGGGCACAGGTTCCACTACAGGATGCCTGGGACGTTGAGTTTCAGTGCCTCAGCCAAAATTAACATTCAACTTGCAACCAGGAGGCTGCAAGTGACAGCAGCAGCTTTGAAGGTCACCTCGCCTCCAAGTAAATAAATAAATAGTAAATAAGAAAGCAGGCAGCAATGAATAAAGAAGGCAAAGCCAGAGGCATTCCACTGGCTTGGACTTGGTTTTTTTTTTTTTTTATTATTTCTTCTCTGCTCTCTTCACTTTCATTTCCCAAAGGTCGGTGCTAATAGGAGACCCCTCTGATTGCTCATGCACAGTGCACACCCTGCCAGGCTGCCTGTTCCAGAGCCCCTGATACCAATTCAGAGCCTAAGCTGGGAGCAAAACAGTGTCATCTCCACAGCTGATTACTTTAATGAGACTTTTCTAGCAGTACCAGGCCACGACAGGTGGGAGGATCTGCTGCAAACACTGTGTTTATCTCTTAGAGCAGAATCTGTGCCCTTCTTGCTGAAGAGAAGTCACGGTGCCAGGTGTTTGTTTTCCGTGCTCCTCTCGGCCATGCCTAATGAGATCCTGGCTCTGCAAGCTCAGAGTTGACTTTTTCCAACAGTTTTTCCAGCTTGGCCACATGGCCAGGCAAGAGACAGTCTGAAATCACGCCAAAGCTATTTCTGATTGTGTTTGTGCCATGCAGGACCCATCTGCTGGATCTGGAGAGGTGCTCACAGAAGGAGGTGTGGGAGGTAGAGTCCTTTCTTCTTGAGCAGAGCATCCAATGTCAAGTGGGGATTCTGCCTCACCTTTCAAAGTGCCCGGTCTCCTGGGCATCCATCCTACACGTGTGCTCCAGGGCTCCCTTCCAGGACGAGCCAGCAGCTCTCTGCAGGCTGAAATCTGGGCGAGCTGACAGGACCATTTCCCAGGGATGCTCTCCAGAGAGACGCGGTGCACACGCTGCACTAATTGAGCCCAGTGCTGTCCCAACAGACCATACTCACACTGAGAAGTTTCTGTCACACTCCAGCTCACAAAACACAGACTCTGGCATCAAATTTTGAAAATAACACATGGTTGGGCAGGACAAAACCCTGTCGTTTTACCAGGACTAAATATTTTGTCACTGTCACCGGCTACTCCCACACATAGTCCAGCAGAAGTCAGAGCTGGATAATGGGAAAACTTTTTATCTTCCTAAAGGAAAATGCCCTTGGAACACGCTCATATTCCCTGAACACACAGATCTTGTCCTTCTTGGTCTGCCCACTCATGTCACTGACACTGTCACTTTGAGATGAGACCAAACAATCCATTTACAGTAGAAGAGGCTGAGGACACTCACTCAACATCTCACCCTGCTGCTGTTCACCTCACCTGTTTGTGCTGGATAGATTTATATATAACATTAAATATATAAAAATATATAGGATAATATTTTATGTATTATATATATTTATATAAATACATATTAAAATATAGATGTCTCCTTAGGGAAAACTGGAGTAACCACGAGTCCCATCATAAGACACTATAACTTCAAGAAGCAATGAATCCTCTGAAATAAGGCACCCCTAAGGGAATGAGGGGCAGTGGGGACAGGCAAAAGACCTTGTAGACACTAAGAATAATGAAAACTGAGCTTTGGTATTAAGGAAATACAATCTGATGGTGTTTCCTGTTACAGTTCAACGCAACAGCTCCTTCCTGTCATGACCAGAAGGTTTCCCAGAGAATCTGTGGCTGCCCCATCCCTGGAAGTGTTCAAGGTCAGGTTGGATGGGGCTTGGAGCAACCTGGGCTAGTGGAAGGTGTCCCTGCCCATGGCAGGGGCGTTGGAACAAGATGGTCTTTAAGGTTCCTTCCAATTCAAGCCTTTCCATGAGTCTGTGATTCCTGGAGGAACATGGCCTGTCTGTCATGCTGAACACACCCAGCTGAGGGGTGTATTTCAACATCACCTTTCACAGACCCACTCCCTCACTTCCACACTCTCCTCCCCTTGTGCCAGCAAACTATTTGCAATTCTTCATTGGAAAAAGGTTCCAAGTTTCCAGGGATTTGCATGTGAAATGTTCCTGTTCATCTCAGATGTGGGTGAGCCATCGAAATGTTCATCAGGGATCTGCCTACAGATGTGACCAGCACGCTTCCCAGAGAATTTGTGGCTGCCCCCATCCCTGGAACTGTCCAAGGCCAGGTTGGACAGGGCTTGGAGTAACCTGGGATAGTGGAAGGTGTCCCTGCCCATGGCAGAGGGGTTGGAATGAGATGATCTTTAAGGTCCCTTCCAACCCAAACCATTCCATGATAACAAACCCTCACCCCATGACTTAATATGTGTGATGTCAAATATTGGGAGCAAGGAAGCTGAATCATCTGTGAACAGCTCACCTCATGGACTCATCCATTACCTCAGACTGATCCATCCTCTCAGACTGATCCATCCCCTCAGCTCCTTCCGAGCACTGCAGGGAGATGTTCCAACCAGGAGCGTTGTGACTTCCAGCTTTTCCAACAGTCCAGGAAGGACAATGTGGACCCCAACATAAGTCACAACCCACTGAAGCTCTCCATCCCCTCACCTGCAAGTCTGATGGGGTGGCTCCAATCCTGGCCCTCCCTACATGCTGGCATGTGTCTGTGTCCCCAAAACTGGCAGGAATCATCTCCACAGAAGGTGGAAACTGGCTGGCAGAAGACCAGGTGATCTTCTCCTTATTTCCTCACCATTGACTCTTCCCCAATCAACCAACATGCTGATAATTGTTACCCCTTGGGCCAGACATGAGTAATCAGTAATTTTCTTCTTCCTTCCTTATTTTATTTTTTTTTTAAGAGCAGCTGGGAAATGCCTTTCTCTCGTTCAGTAGAGTTTGAAAGCTCCTCCATCTGGACAACCTAATTCCCGATGTAAATACAGGGAAAGGAGGGAAGAGAAGAATGGTGTCCCAAGGGAGCCCCTCCACATCCTGCTGTCTCTGCCTGAGGTGACTTTCTCCCCCTTCCCTCGTTGTCCTGGCCTTTAGGAACAGAGCCAGTCCCCCTGCTGAAGGGGAACTGAAGAGGTGGCTGTAAATTGAAATTAGCATTTAGCTCAAGGAGTACAAAGCAATGATTAATGGCTTTTTAATGCTCCACCATTCCACACTCAGAGCACTTTGTTTTAATGGCAGGGGATGGAGAATAAAAAGTGTGTGTATGTGGGAACAGAGCTT